GAAACGCCGAGCAAACAAGCAGCGGGATTCGAACCCGGGGCCTCGCGGCCAAGCACGCGTGACAAGTCTCTGGCAAAACTTGACCCTGACCCTGAACCCCGAGCGCGGGACCGGCCGTCGTCGTGGTTGCAGGCGTTGCAGGGACGCAGGGCGGAGGGCCGGCCGAGGCTGCGGGGGAAGGGGAAGGGGGGGCTCCCTTCGTGTTCCCACCAGTGTGTAGGAATTATAAGTGACTCGGGTAATGACTTGCCCCCTCCCGGCCCTCCCCCCGATCCTCGATCCCCCCTTCCTTTTTCCTTTACCTCTTCGGCCGGCGCGCACACACACACACACACACACACACACACACACACACACACACACACGCACACACACGCACACACACACGCACAGCCGGACCCCCCACCCCTCCAACCCACCTGTCGGATGGGCGGATGGGCGGGCGCGGTTGGGTGAGCAAGGAAAAACAAGTGGAAGAGAAGAAGAGCAAGACGAAGTCGAAGGCAGGGAGGGGGCAAGGGGGGACGCCACTACACGCCAGCAGCGTCCCTGGTCGGCTTGGTCGTACCTATACGTGCCCCATGGCCCTCCCCCTCCTCTTTCCAGTAGCGCGGCAGCGCGGTAGCCCGGGAAGGGCCCAAGACGATGGGTGTCCCCCGGGACGACGTGGCGTGCCTCGGCAGCGCAGGGCGCGGGAGGGACGGGGACGGGAGTCAGAAGAGCCCCGATAGGGTTAGTGGTGGTATTAGTACCCGCGGCGGGGCTGGCGGGGGCCTGGCCTCCAGGGCCGGGAGGTCGAGCAATCTAGACGCCCCGACCGGTCCGGCCGTTCCGAGCCACGCGGCGCGGCGCACGGTGATGCACTCCGTGAGGTGCTCCAGAGAAAGACCCGATCACCTCGCCCCGATGCTCGCTCGCCCCGATGCTCCAGACCTCTCAATCGGTGGCGGCGGTACTGACGGTGGGCCGCCCGCCTCAACTCAATCACGCGCCTCCGGCCGTCCGGTCGAGCCGAGCACTACGAGCACTTCCAGCGACCCATCGCTGTACAGTGAGCCAGAAGGCCGGTGGAGGCGGTCAGAATCCCGGACGCGTTTTTGAGCTCCAGAGTCGCTCAATGGGACTCGAACCGATCGTGCGACCCCACCAACGGATTGCTCTCCGAACGAGGAATCTATTGGTGGGGTTACACGTTCGGTTCGAGTCCCATTCAGCGACTCTGAATCTCAAAACGCGTCTAGAATTTTGGGCGCCTGCGCCCGTCTTCTGGCCTCTGGCCCACTGTGGATCGGTTCCTCCGCCGACGTCACGGACCAGGGCTCGACCCGACCCGACGCCCCGCGACGCGTCGCGCTCGGCTGACCCGCGACGCACACCCACAGACACAAAGACACGCACACAATCCAACAGGGCTGCACTCGACGGTAACGTCGTGGGTGCCCCGCCCCGCCCCGCCCCGTTTTTCCGCTTCTTCCTCCTGCCGAGCGACTCCGGGCCACAGCCGCTTCGTCGCTCCGTCTCTCTCGCACCCCGACGGGGCAAACCAGCGAGTGCGAGGGAGACGGAGGGAAGGAACGACTCTCCGGAAGCAGCCCGCCGGACTCGCTTCGGGGAATCCGTTCACACGCTCATCCATCCATCATCGCATTCATTTCCCAACAGAGCAAACGAGTGCAGAGCGCGGAGCGTGGCCGGTCAGCCCGCCAGGCCTACAGTGGCGCGGAGCGTCGCCATCGCCAGTGCAGCGACTTCGTTGCAGGACAAGCAAAACAGACAAGAAAAGCGCCCAGGAGCGCTTCGGCCGGCCGAAGCCATAACCGCGGCGCGAGCTGCACTCTGAGTTCGAACGGTCGCCACCCGTCTCTCTCGCACTCCTCAGGGCGCCCCGCGAGTGCGAGAGAGACGGGGCGACGAAAGCGAGTCGGCCGCGCACGGGCGCAACTATCACTTGACAGCAGCGCATGCATAAATCATGCCGGGCTGCGCCGCGCCGCCTTTCGCAAGGCCCGACTCGATTACACCTTTCCAGAAAAACGGCGGCAAAAATCCACGCCGCCTTCTCCCTCCTCGGGGTAATTAATAGGAAACCACATACAGACGAGACACACAAACACACGCACACACGAGTGGGAAGAAACGGGGCCACGGCTACGCCAACGACCCGCGCGCCACGCCACGACCCGCCACGCGTTTAACTATGTGCTACACAAACGCAACACGGGTCGACTCGCCTGCAGGCCGATTCCGAGGGGGAGGCCCCGTCGGTCCGTCTCTCTCGCACCTGTACGGGACGCCCCATGGGTGCGAGAGAGAGAGAGAGAGAGAGAGAGAGAGAGAGAGAGAGAGAGAGAGAGAGAGAGAGAGAGAGAGTGCCACTCGGAATCAGCTTGCTGGCGATACCTTCAAAACCCCACCGTCCCTGGGCTCCGCGGCCCGCAGCCCGCGCCCCGCCGACAGAGACTGACGACCCGGATTTAATTGTTACAAGATCGTTATCGCAAAAGGGGCGGCTTTACGGACTTGGGTGTGCGAGTGTGTGGAATGGATGTACTCGTGTGCGCGGTGCAGGAGGGGGGAAAGGGGGGGGGGGGGAGCAGGTCCTTCTAAATATTCCTCCGGCGCGCGACGGCCAAATCGTAAACCAGCGCGTTCGTGACGGCCGCGGAGGCCGGCGCTGTCTGTCTCCCCGGCAGGTGCGAGAGAGACAGAGCGACGAAAACGACTCCCGGAATCAGTCCACACCGCAGGGCAGGGCAGGGCGGCCTTGCATGGCCTTGCACGCGTTGTCGTCCTGCCGGAAACGAAGATTCCTCGATATCGATACGCCGCGCCGCCCCTCCCGTGCGCCATGCGTCGCTAAACTGTCCCGGGCGCCGTCCTCGACGTGGGCGACCCCGCCGGGGGCCTTGCCCCGCCAGCACCGCCAGCCAGCAGACTCAATCCGAGAGTCGTTTTCGTCGCAGTCTCACTCGCACTCATGGAGCGTTCCGCGTAGGTGCGAGAGAGACAGAGCGACGAGGACGACTCTCGGAGTCAGTCCACAGCCCGTGCCGGAAAGACGAAGCCGCCCCCTTGCGACCTTCCGTGCAGGGCCGCACTTCCCCGTCCGCCGCGGTCGCGTGCCGCGTGCGTGCCGCGTGCGTGCCGCGTGCGTGCCGCGTGCGTGACATGCCTGCACCGCGCCGCCGACCTCCGCGACCCGCTCCTTCTCCTCGTTCGCAGCCAATCAGGGCAATCGATGCCAGAGCGCCCCGTCCGCGGCCGACGACCAAAATAATTAAACTCGCGAAAGCCGAAGCCCGCGGCTGTGCGGTCGTCCACCCAGCAGCGCGCGGGTCGGCCGGCTGACTGTGACGTCTCTCTTCCTGTCTCTCTCGCACTCACGGAGCGTCCTGTACGGGTGTGAGAGAGACAGAGCGACGAGACGCCCCGTTCGGAGTGCCGGGTCGCGCGCAGCAGCGCCCCTGCGCGGCGGGGCACTTGAAGACGAGGAGACCGCGGCTCCCACGGCTATGATGCACTTTTAATTGCGCGTGACGGCGAGTGGCCGCGGTGCCGCGCTCCAGCTCCAGTACGCCGGCCAGTTTGTCGTTACGTTTTAATCAAGGGTGCGGCATTTAAAGGGCCTCCTGGCTGATGGCCCGGCAGGCGGCCGCACAGTGGGCCAGAAGCCCGGTGGAGGGAGGCGGCCGAAATTCTAGACGCGTTTTGAGCTCCAGAGTCACTAAGCGGAACTCCAAGCGAGCGTGTGACCCCACCTATGGATTCCTCGTTCGGAGAGCGATCCATTGGTGGGGTCACACGTTCGGTTCGAGTCCCATTTAGCGACTCTGGGGCTAAAAACGCGTCTGGAATTTTGGCCGCTTCCACCGGTCTTCTGGCCCACTCTGCCGCGCAGTTGCATTCCCTCCAGATTGTTATGTCCCCCGCGTCGCGTCGCGGCGGTGCTCGGTGCGCTACGGCGGCATCCTTCACAAAGCAGCCCACGTGGCCACAATCCGCCGCCAGGCAGGTGCACCGAGCGCGCCGAGCAGGCCGAGCGCCTCGCCGAGCGCCCAGAAGCAGGGGGCGGGCCGCGCGGGCGGGGCACCTCGCCGACGGCCGACGGCGGACGCCCCACACACGGAAGCCGCGCCAGCAGACTGATTCCGCACAGCGCGGCCGTCGGTCTGTCTCTCTCGCACCGGTACGGGGCTCCCCATGAGTGCGAGAGCGAGACACCTCCCGCGAAAGAGACCTCTCTCTCTACTCGGAATCAGTGTCCAGGGCGTGGCTGCTCCACTCAAGGGGGTGGACAGCCGCCTCGGCCAGCTTGACGGCCAGCACGCGGGGCGGCAGGCTCACTCCGCTGCTATCTCTCTCTCGCACTCGTCGGGCGTCCCGTAGGGGAGCGAGAGAGACGGAGAGAGAGCAGTGGCGCAGCGGGGTCAACAACTCGCTCGCCATTTCACACCGCGGAGCCGCGGAGTGCATCGATTCCAAGCGCCGCCGCCACGCTGCCGGCGATGGGGCGTGGCGGGGCGTGGCGGGGCGTCGCGTCGCGTGGCGCGCAGAGTGCAGTGGACGCACGCCACGCATCGTGCGGCACGGTCCAGCGCGACGCCACGCGACGCGGTACGGCGGTGCGGTGCGACGGCATTCCGTCAGTCAATGACGGTGACGCCACGGCACGCCACGCCGGCCCGCGTCCAGTCCATCCAGAGAGGACCCCTCCCCTCCCAGTGTCGCCGTCTCTAACTGAGGTACGCGCACCTGCCAGGACCGGCCCACGTTTATTGCCAATCTCAGTCAGCACCTTCACCACCTGCCTGGCTGCCTGGCCCAACCTCGGACTAAAGACATTCACCGGCGCCGCGCGCCACGCTCGGCCGCGGGACAATCAGCCCCACTCCCAAACAACAACGGCAACGAAAAAAACGAAAACAACAGACGAAAAAGAAGCAAACAAACAAAAAGAGCAACCTTGTTGGGCCTGCAATGAACCAGCAAATAAGCCTTACCTTGGCGGCGACGATGCTGAGGCCCATGCCGTTGTTGGACTTGTGCAGCTTGATGACTTGGTACTCGGGCTGCTGCTGCATGGCCGGCTGGAATCCGCTCGAGCGGTTGCTCATGGCACTTGGGCTCCTCGCCTGCGAGAGCGAGAGAGGCGAGTCAATTATTTCCCACTCTCCCAACCGCCGGCCGTGTTTCATCCGCGGCCTGGGCGGCTCTTGCAGTGGCGTACTGCGTACGGTGGGGTAGAAGACCAATGGAGGCGGCCGAAACTCTCGACGCGTGTGGAGCTCCAGAGTCGCTAAACAGGACTCGAACCGAACGTGTGACCCCACCAATGGATTCCTCGTTCAGAGAGCAATCCATTGGTGGGGTCACACGTTCGGTTTGAGTCCCGTTCAGCGGCTCAGCAGCTGAAAACCCCCGGTCTTCTGGCCCACTGTGCTGTGTGCTGCTTGCTCTTAGTACTCACCCCGGGGTGGCCCTCCTGCATCTGGTACACTGTCCACAGCCCGCTGGACGTGGGCTGGACCGTCATGCGGCACAGCGCGGCGTGGCTGAGCGGCGCCAGGAAGTCGGCGAGGCCCTGGGGGACGCCTCGCACCACGTCGCAGCTGTAGCCGTCCTCGGGCAGAAGGAACGGCAGCTGCAGCAGCGGCTCCTCCGTCAGCTGCACCTCCCGGCCGTCTGTCCGCGCCAGCTCGTCCGCCACGTTCTCCGCGACCTGCTCGGGGAGGAGACGCAAGCAGGCCGAGAATGTAGCCACCAGTCGCAACGCCCCCAAAAAACACGAAGCGCCCACAGTGACGTCATTTTGATGTCAATATCACAAATTTTCATAAAAATTTCTAACAAAAAAAAGGCATTATTTTGACGTCAGTATGATGCCAAAATCACAAATTTTAGTAAAAATTTCTAACACAAAAAAAAACATTATTTTGACATTATTTTGACTTCCTTTGACTGCTTCGTAAGCGTTTCGAGTACTTTGGGTCACACTACCACAGCATCAAAAAGGGGAGGAAAGTTGGGTGATTCCGCAACCCGGCAGAGTTAGAGGTCTGGTTAGAGCAGCCCATGATCACCTTACCCACCACCTGGCTCAGTAAGTTCAATGCCATGTTAGTCAAAATAGCAAACAGAAAACATTTAGGAAACAAAGACGGCTTCAGACGTGTTAGCCAGAAATGGAAAGAATGAATGAAGCATCATCGGCGGAGAAAATTTGAATGGGCATTGAAAGACTGGCCAGGCAAAACCAAAAATGGAACGTACCCTCACCACATTCTCCACTAGCTCAGGTGACAGACGTGGTTCATCTGGAGCAGGTTGGTATTTTGTAAGAAGTGCTCTTAATTGAAGTGAGTTCAATTTAAAACACGTTGAGCTTATAGTTGCTAAATCATCCGCTGTATACTTTGGTGCCTGAAAAGGAATAAAAATCATACAGGTCAGGTCATTTAGACATTCACTCACAATTCAATTTTGAGAAAATCACAAGGTTTAATTTCTTACCTGCAGTAAGTGAGCAGCTTGAATTATCCTAGCCAAATGGCAGTCTGCAGCCAGCTCCAAACCTTGTCTCTCAGCCCAAACCTCCAGTTGGGCCAACCTTGCCTTAAATCTAAGTCCCCAAGCACGAGAGCAGAAACACACGCTTGATGCTGGTGATGGACTGGTAACAACACAGTTGAATGCCCACACATTGACAAAGTGGAACAGCTGTGAGAACAGCTGAATGGTTAGCGCCGCGTTAACACGGCACCGCCGCAGCAGGCTCATCGTGTTGGTGAGCACTTGCAAAACCTGCCACAAGAAAAAATAAACAATGAGGCACAAAAAAAAAAAAAAAAAAAAACAAAGAAATAAATAATTACGCAGCAGTTTCAGTTTTTTAGACATGTTGGAGGGGCTTTTACAATAATTTTACAATACTTACGGATCCATTCTCTTCATCTTGTAAATCATCCCTTTCTGACATAAAAGATGGCATAACAGCTGATAATTCTCCTTGTAAACACGAGACTAAATTTCTAAATGCCATTTGCACTGCTTCTGCTAGAATATCTTGGGCATCCAGAGAAAAGGCCGAAACATGTCGGTCTGACTTTAAGAAATGAAGCAGTTCTGATGCATTTGCCATCCAGAATGCCAAGGAAAGGGAGTCTGAGTACCGTTCCTAAAAAAAGCACAACATGGTTAGAGTAAATTCAGATCAAACATGCAGATTCCTAGATTTAATTGAACAATAAAGACAGCTTACTTGGATAACATTTTGGATCATGGCGGCTACTCTTGCCAGCAAAATTGTCAGCCTATCTGCTCGCTCTGTGGGTGTTAAGTCAGGCTGGTAGTGGGTTGATGCTCTGTAGCGAGCAGCCAGGTACAATGTGTATGTTGGTGCTAACTTGAGCCCGACAGCATTTGGGTCCAGGTCGGTAATAATGGCATGCAAGAATGCTTCTTCCGTCTCTTCTCTGAATTCAAGGACGGCAGGGAGGATGGCATCAGAGCCTCTAGGATATCGCTCATAATTGGATAGCCTGAAAAAAAATTAATGATAGTTGGTGAGAAATAAATCTTAACAAGTACATCTTGATCAATGAACAGAAAACAAACAACATGACACTGATGACAAAAACAAGAATTGAGGCAAACAAAAATTGCAGAAACATGCCAAGCACACCAAAATACAAGATAGGAGAAATGAAAACAACTGTATTACCTATTTCCATCTCGACTACTGCAAACAGATCGTTGAGACCGTGTTTCATCTTTGTTGCCAAGGCTGGACGTTGAAACTGTTTCTACATTTCCATCCACATCAAAGGTGGTCTCGTAATTCTGCGTACTATTACCACCAGGCATGCCTGATGTACTGTTTAGGACACCAGAGGGAGAGGTGGGTTCTTCTCTTGATTGTCTGCGGTTGATAGCGTGCAGTGCATAACAAATAATAATAAAGTAACAATAAAAAAATAACAAAAAATAGTTTACAAAGCACAAGTGTTCTAGAAGCATTGCAGTTAGTGCACAAAATAACACTACTGAATGAATGAACATTTCAGTGCCGCCAGTTTAGTGCGTTGCAGTGACTGGAACCTCCCTAAGCAATACTGACCTGTCATACGAGTATTCATGAGCTAGCCGTTGCCTGTTTCTGTCCTCGAAGTTGGGGTCAATAAACCTGAAGTTGTGAAGCCTTCCAAATTTGACTGTGGCTCCATTCTATGGAAACAGAGAAGACAGAATTAAAACCCCGCTCACAACAATCACTCTCTTAAAATTATTTAAGAAAAGCTACAAATTATTAGAAGAGAATCATCAGCTGCACCAGGGGCCGGCTTTGCAACACGAATTTCGTGGCGGCGACCCTGGTGGTCGTGATGACCCTGGTGGCAGTGATAACACGACGCGCCGCACCTGCAGGATGGTGGTCTCGTAGATGCGGACGTTGTTGACGTAGGTCTCGGCGTCCCTGCTGCACGGCGTCACCGTCACGATGCCCTCGGTGTGAGCCACGACGCAGTGGCGCGGCATCACGTGGGGGCCGTGCAGCGTCAGGCACTGCGACTGGGACTGCATGGCCTGGTGGCCGTTGACGGGCCGCTCGCTGCCCACCTCCGTCACGTTGAGCTGCAGGCGGTGGCGCTGCGGCGTGGCCGACATCATGTCCGTGCCGTCTGCGGAGAGGGACAAAATCAAGTTCAAGTTAGGGGTTCCAACTCGGTGTCAATGAAGTTCAAGTTAGGGGTTCCAACTCGGTGTCAATGAAGTTCAAGTTAGAGGTTCCAACTCGGCCTCAATCAAGTTCAAGTTCGGGGTTCCAGCTAGGTGTCAATGAAGTTCAAGTTAGGGGTTCCAACTCGGCCTCAATCAAGTTCAAGTTCGGGGTTCCAGCTATGTGTCAATCAAGTTCAAGTTGGAGGTTCCAACTCGGTGTCAACCAAGTTCAAGTTAGGGATTCCAACTAGGTCTCAATCAAGTTCAAGTTGGAGGTTCCAACTCGCAGCCTCGGTTTGGTAGTCCACAGGGGAGCCTTGACCCACAAGGCACAAATAAGACCCAACATCCATTCATATTTTGGCAAAAAGTTAAAAAAAAATTATGTAGGCGCACTTTTTTTCTCAAGCATAATTTAGGCGCACTTTTTTCTAAAACACAACTTCACTTTTTTTCTCAAGCATAATTTAGGCGCACTTTTTTCTAAAACACAACTTAAGTAACATATTTTCTTTTAAATGGTACAAAAACTATAACAGAGTGCCGGTGAAGCAGCCCGTTTCCACTGAGAACGCCAACATACAGGTAAGAAACTTGAATTTTTTTTTGTAATACGTATGACAGTGTACTGGTGGCGCAGCACCAAGAAAATAGAAACCCAATCTTTTTCTAGTGGGACAGTGTGCCGGCGGCGCATGCGCTGCAGCACGGCACTCGGCCGCACTCGGCAGGGCGGCGGCGTCACACCAAATTGGGGCGACCATAATTCAGAACGCAGCTTCAGTCGATCAAAGCGGATCAATACATACGGTGGCGGCCAGACATGTCGCCCGTCTCGAAACAAGGCGAAGCTACGACGGCCCCGCCCCGCCCCGCCACAGTGCCTTCGTCGCCGTGTCTCTCTCGCACTCATGGGGCGTGCCGTAGGGGTGCGAGAGGGACAGAGCGACCGAATCAGCCTGCCGCCTGGCCCAGCCCCGCCACGCCACTACGCCTGCCTGTGTCCTACGTCCTACGTCGCCGTATGGCGCATCACCGTGACCCACTTCCACGTCCACCCCGTCCGCGCCTAGGGCCAGTGCCTCGCCCCGGGGCCGGCTCGACAGCACCCAACTAGACCCATAATGGGACTAAGCAGGGCTGTACACTGATTCCGAGAAAACGCTTTCGTCGCGCTGTGTCCCGTCGCGTCGCGGGAACCCTTTGAGTGAGAGAGAGACAAAGCGACGCTAACGACCGGACCCTCAGCCAGACGCCCCACAGCCGCGCCGCCGGCGTCGTTGCTTGTTCCTTACCGGGGTTGAGCTCGAGGAAGAAGGGCATGTAGGTGTCGTCGTAGCGCCCGTCCGCGTCCACGCCCTCCAGGCCGTCCTTGCCCCACTTGCCCGCCTGCTGCGGCTTCTTCTTCCGCTTCCGAGGGTGGTAGTCCGCGGGCCGCCGCCGCACGTGGAACATGATGGAGCCTGCAGCAGACAAGAGAACACAAACGTCAGCAAACTCGAAAAGCAAAAATTCCAGGCACACTGTAAATGTCTTACGGTGAAAGGCTGCACCAACATATTATGGTGGAGATTTTCTCCATAATACCAACGAAATTCGTCAAAATATCTATAAGGAACAGTGAGTTCTCAATGGTATGTTACGAAGTCAGCTGCACCACCATAATATGGAGAATCTTCACTGTACAACATTTGGAGTGCAGTAACAAGGAAATAACAAAAAACATTCCGAAACGTAGGTTGACAAAAACGGGGTCACATAAGAAAAACACTAAAAACTAAACTTCAGGGGGAAAAGTCGATGCAAATCAAGAGTTTGGACACTCAGGACTCAGGCGTTCAGAATATTCCACTATAAATCCGATACAACCCCCGCGCCGCCCCGACCACTAAGCAGTGTTTCCTGACCACAACGCCCCCGTCCCCGGTGTGAAGTTGAAATCGGCAGAAACATTAAAATCGACCGCGACATTTCGTTTCAGTCGCCGCCCGACGCCGTGACAGCCGCACGCCCACTGCCCACTTGGAGGCCGCGCGCGTGTGTCCGTGTGTGTGCGAGAGAGCGCGAGCAACAAAACCATCATCGTAAAACCCGGGGCCCGTACACGGATGTAAGTGGCGCAGTGGCCGGGCTCCCGAACCAGAAAACAACGGCCGTTGGGCGCACGCGAGGCGACGCGTGGCGCACAGTGGGCCAGAAGACCGGTGGAGGCGGTCAAAACCCTAAACGCGTTTTGAGCTCCAGAATCGCTGAACGAGACTCGAACCGAACGTGTGACCCCATCAATGGATTGCTCTCCGAACGAGGAATCCATTGGTGGGGTCACACGCTCGTTTCAAGTCCTGTCAAGCGACTCAAGGGCTCAAAACGCGTCTGGAGTTTTGTCCGCCTCCACCGGTCTCTGGCCCACTGCGTGGCGTGTTGCTGCGACCTCCAAGCGCACAGCGTCATCGACGACAACGAGACTTCTTTCATCCCTCCAATACACCAGAAAAAAGGCCACGCCCTAGAATGCCGCCCCCGCGCCTCGCAGAGCCTCCCGGGCAAAATGCCGGGCCAGGCCTGCCCCTCGGCCAGCCCGCGCCGTATCATTGCGTGGCTGCGGTGGAACGCCTCCTGCCGAGCCATTCCCAGGGACCGTCGCTCTGTCTCTGTCGCACTCACGGGGCGTCGCGTGGGGGTGCGAGAGAGAGGCACAGCGACGGACTGCAAAGGTCATCCTGGCCGGCTGTGCCGTGGCTGTGCCGTGGCTGTGCCGTGGCTGTGCCGTGGCTGTGCCGTGGCTCTGCCGTGGCTCTGCCCACATCATTCGACCGAACACGAAGGGCGGGGCCGGCCGGGCCAAAGTCCCCGTCGGAGCGCTGCGGCCGCCCTGCGATCACTCCGGCCCGCGATTCAAGTTTAAAGAGCGGCGCGCTAGGAAATCAGGGCGGCAGTCGCAGGGCGAGAGCTGCGGCGCAAACCTTGACCGAGGGGAGGGCGGGTGCATATAGATCATCCGGCGCGTCCATTCGGCTCTTTTTTATTTCCGTCGCGCTGGGGAAAAAGCCGCAACCGCAGATTTGCATTTCGATTGGGCCGCTTTGCGGCATGACCGTGCATGGCGGTGGCGGCGCACAGTGGGCCAGAAGATCGGTGGATGATGCGGTCGAAATCCCGGACGCGTTTCGAGCTCTGGAGTCGCCAAATGGGACTCGAACCGAACGTGTGACCACACCAATGGATTGCTCTCTGAACGAGGAATCCGTGGGGTCACCAGTCCTGTTAGGCGACTCTGGAGCTTAAAACGCGTCGAGAGTGTTGGCTGCCTCCACCGGACGTCTGGCCCACTGTGCGGCGCGGGGAAGCCCCAAGCCAATACATGGAGCCTGCCGACGTCACCACCGCCACGTCCATAGCGTTAAATCGCACGTCACCCAGGCTAGCGACACCCACTACACCCAGACACAGCTACACCCCCGCACAGGGTTAATAATGAACCACGGCACCCCCGCCGGGCCCGCCAGCCCACCAGCAGCCCGACGCTAAAAGTGGCTGCGCGAATCATTGCGGCCTGGAGGGAGGGAGACAGACAGAGCCGCCAGCTCGCCGACAACGAATACACTACTTTGGTCGTCTCGTCTCTCTCGCACTCTCGGGGCGTCCCGGCGATGTGAGATAGAGACAGAACGACGGCGAGCCCCGCTCGGAATCGGCTTTGCAGACCCTCCCTCGGCGCGCCGGGCCTGTCGCGTACACTGTATAGCGTGACGGTTATCAATACATGAGCACTATTAAGGGCCGTGCTAATGACAGGTTCCCGCCCCTGGACGGGCCCCGTCCCCCGGCCCGAGCTTCGGCCCCACTGAGCCAGCCTGTCAGTCTGTTTGTCCATCCGCAGAGTTCTCACTAGTTCTCCATTGCGCTTTTAACAACTTTTTATCGTAGAATATCACAAAAATTACCAAAATTCAAAAGTTTCAAACAAATTAAATTATTTGAATTTCGATCGATTTTCTCCATTGGCTTTGCTCTGACTTTACTGATCCAAAATTACTATCTGAACGCTTGGTCTCTCCAACAGGGTTGAAAAAATCTTAACTTAAGAAATTTATATTTTTTACGGCGACCATATTTTTTAATGACAAGTCCTGCTTTTCCCGCTCGTTTTCTAGTCTTCTAGCCTGTAAGAACCCTGACCTGCCCGTCTGTCCGACGGAGGGCGCACTGCCCGACGCATCATTGCAATTATTTCGTGACCCCGGCCGTCGCCCCCGACCGGGACGCGAACCCGAGTCAGTCGCGTGCAGGGTGGTGGTCAGCCCGACGCCGAACTGTTGAATTCCGTTTTGTCCGCCGCAATCGGCGCCGCACTGCTAATGGCTGCAGCGACACAGCGACGCGCGTACGGCGCCAAGGTCAGCGTGGCCGGGGCGCCATTCATTTTTCACGGCACGGCACGGCAGGGCACGGCGACATGTGGTGGGCTCGCCCCGCTCGGCGCGGCCAAGGCGCCCAGGGCGGCGGCAGTGACGTCAACGCATAGGTACACTAATTAATTAATTTCATCAACGACGAGGCGTGACCCAGGCCGTCAGGCCGTCCGGGGGAGGGGCTTGGCCGGCACGCCGTCACACACAGACACACACACACACACTGGTACACGTTCGATCACGGCCAAGACCGCGACTCTATCGGATCTAACCCCGATAGGAGACGGTCGCAAGGGCAGAGTCCTCCCTTGGCACCCTGCTCACGCGTTTCCGGCGTGTTTCCTGTCTCTGCGTCCGCTGGCTGGCCACAAAACAGAGCTGTCCTGAGCGAGACTGATCCCGAACAGCAGTGTCACGGGATAGGCGCACTTAAAACCTTACGATGTACTTTGAGCACATATAAGGTAAAAACTACTCAGTTGGTCTTACGAAAAATTGTTAGTAAACTACATACATGTACGAACGTGTACGAAGCATTTTCATTGTAAAATAATGTTTTAACAGGCTACTCTTTTCGAAAGGCCTAAAATAGTCTGTAAAGGTTCGAGAGTGGGTCGTCGAGGCGCCACGCTGTCGAGCCAGGCGGTCCATCCTGCAGGGCAGTCCGACGTCTCGCCCCGACCCCGAGCCTTTATGCGCTCACTGACCCGCGCGCCGCGCCACGCCGCGCCACGCCGTCTCAAAGGACTCCGTTTTAATTCCTCCGCGTGACGCGCTGCGTGTCCCCGAGGCGTGCCAAAAACCGACCAGAAGGTGGACTACCCTCACCGGGTTCGTCACCGGAGAGAGAGAGTTTTAGCCAACCTAAGTTTGTTGTCCAATTAAAAAAAAAAAAAAAAGACCACAACTACTACACGTGCATGACACACAAGACACGCCTACTTGCTGGTGCTGGCGTAGGTTTAGCAGTCACTTTTTGAAAGTCTAGATGCAGGATGACTGCGTCAAACAAAAACTATCAAAAACGGTCCAAAGTTAATAATCAGGGCTCACATCGGATTTTCATTCTCTCCGCAGGTAAAAATGTCTAGTTTTTCTCGACTCTTTTTCAAATTTTACGGGCACTCCCAGAGCAAAATGAATGCAGCGTTCACCCGTGCCGCGTTTAAAATCCGCACATTGATCAACTTTATTAATTATCCCTGACCTATATCAAATTTCCTTGACAATCCAGCGCCCCACGACTTTCCGAAATTTTCCCTGATTTCGCTGACCGAACCCTCAAAAGGCGAACGCGCCACGTACCCAGCACCACCTCGGTGGACGCGTTCCGGAGCCGAAAGTTGGTGTAGGAGCAGAGGCCAATCATGGTGACGGCTCACAGTGGCGTGCCGGCAGCCCGGCCGATGGCCGATTCGTCCGAAGGGCGGCGCGTCTGGCGAACGTCTGACCGAGCCAGCGGGCCGGACCGGCCGGACCCGCCGCCCCACTCCCCGCTGGAGAGCCGCCCTGGCCGCCCCCCCCCCCCCCCCCCCCGCCCGGAGCGGCACGCACTAGCCGCCACTAGCCGCGACAGGCCCAATCCAGAAAGCCAAATTAGAAAAGGACAAAAGCAAAAAGCGACAAGCCTTGGATCTGGTAAAACCTCGCGCCGTGCGGCCAAGCACCGCGTCAGCCTCGGCGTCAGTTGGGCCTTATCAGCGAGACCCCTGCTTCGTGCACGAAGTGGCGCCATGAACGCAAAGTTATTTTGGGAACGATGTTCCTGATTCCATCTATCACACCTGTCTTCACTGGCCCTCTGTTTACCATGTCCAGCTCCAGAACAAAGCCCTAGATTCCGTCTTGGTGACTGACGAAGACACGCGGCGAAAACACATCAACGAAGCCTTCCAAAATCCGTTTCATGTTCAAAATGCAATGTTCAGAAATTCGAAGACAGACTCTGCAGCAGCGAGCACTACGCAGCAGCAGCACTGGCCTCCCCACTCAAGTTCAGCCGGCAGGAGCCCTTAATGGTAATGGTAATGGCGGCGTAGCCCACCAGCCAA